CTAGGCAGAGGTAGGTTAACACCACACACAGTTTTTCCCATCCTATCCTAAAATACATATGATTGATTGAACAGAGCTCCCCAGGCTAATTCCTTTGGCAAAACCTCCTTATTGTTGACAAGATGATTAGGAAAGCACCAGGAAGTTTCTCTGAATTTGCAATTGCTTTTTCTCTCTTGTGAATTTCTTTACAAGAGGAAATTATCCAGACCGATGCTGTGGCTTTGGGTCAGATCTGATTCTAGGGCTTGTACCACTCCAGAGAGCACTAAACTTTTTCTTGCATGCCTGCACTATCTTACCCACCACGAACATCGCAGTTGTGAATGTGGGAACTGTACCATGGAGATCCCCAAAACACAACTGCAGGAAAATTTCACTATCTTGCTCTACACTTATATATATCTTATATATATCTTATATATCATGCACCCATGGTATAAGCAAGAGCTAATCTGCAGAGTGAAACCTACAGCAGTGTCCACTGTTGCCCATGAATCCCTTGAGACTGCCACTCTCTAAGATGCACAGAGGTAAAGCCTTGACAACATTGGAGGCAATGGGAGTTTGAAGTTTAACTTGGGCTCCTGCAGCAACTAATAACATTAGTACTTTATCAACATTCTTCTCATAACAAATCCCATACTGAAAGTAAAAGATAGCTATTCTAGCTACTAAGAAAAAAATTAACTCTATCCTACCAAAACCAGGACACCCTTCATACAGATGATCTCCCTAAAACAGATGTACCAAACACTTACCATTTTTCCTTTAAACTCAGTCACAGGTGTACAATAAAACCTAGCTCACTCAGATATATGGCTCCATTGAGATTATACAGATTATAAAGGTTATTTATACAGATTATATAAATGTAGTTGCTCATATCTACAGAATCCTCATTTCATGGGATCCTAGTAACTGCCCTTACTTAACGTCTGTTTCATATAAACATATTTTAAGTTTCCTGCCATTTGCTCATAAATATGCCACAATGTTTCTAGAATTTAAGAAAGCTAAAAATATTTTTACAAATATCTTTAAGGACAAATGATTCCCTGAAGATGTAACGAGCGGAGGCTGTTCCTATATCAGCCCTTGTCTTTGATTAACCACTTAAAAAAAAAAAAAAAAAGGAATAGATTAATTATTAAAATTAATCCTGTAGTGCACCTGAGCACTCTGAGTGAAACCTGATTTCCACTCGAGGTGGGGGGGGAGGGGGGGCAGTGCTGAGGTTGCTCAGCATCTCACAGAATTAGGTTTGCAGGGAGAAAGTCAGTGGTTCCTATTGTGAAATAGTAAGGACTGAGTGCGCTGTAAAAAAAAAAAAAAAAGTATTCATTTCTGGGCTTAGAATCAATGCAATTCCCCTTTAGCCTATTAGACTTGCCGAGAAGCCCCTCTCAGGACATGCAGCAGTTTCTCTGACTGCTCAGCCATGTAATAACACTGAAAACAAAGGCACAAGAACTTACTGTGTCACACTGTAATGTCATTATTCACTTGATAAAACTGTGGCCATGCCACAACATTTCACGCTTTGGGTTTGCCCAAAGCTATGGAGTAGCTCTGCTCATTATACAGGTAACTTCTCCCCAAAGCCGGCGTGTGGCAGCAGCAGTCCCCAGGCTGACCCTTTCCAGGCCTGTGCAAAGCCCGTCCTGAGCTTGGTTTCACAGTTGCCTGCACATCTTGCTCTACTCCAGCTTGCTGCCTCCCCGGAGACAGCATACCTTATGTTTGCCATTTCATTCTCATTCACCTTGCCTGTCACCTTAAGGCTGTCTTAATTATAACATCGTCAAAGGTTTATTCAACAAGATCTGAAGATTGTGCTTTAATTACAAAAATGAAAACATGTGATTACAACCAAAGTAAGTATAAAACAAAATATTTGTAGCAGCTGAAGCCTTTTTAGATGTTTCAGTGTCTCATCCAGAAGTCCCTCAGTTTGTCCCAGCTAGAAGATTTGAAGATCCAGGTTTCCTTGTGCCTATCTATATTTTGTATGCCTTTTACAGCCTATTACCTCCATTTGGGCTCATTTGAAGCCCAGTTTTGGATACAGATTCAAATATCTTAAGTGGTTGTATCTTTGGCCAGGCATTTTGAATGATTTGAATTCCTATCTCATTTGTTGAAATACAAATGACTCTTTGGGGATACCAGTTACATAAAGACTGTTTCTCCTTTAGTCCTACTCAGTCCACTTCTCAGTATTCCTACTCGGTTCAACCGTCCAATCTGAACTTTTTACTTCACATTTCCCAGAAATAGCTGAGGCTACTGGTATGTTCATAGCAAAGAAAGTGCAAGGTAACAGGTCAAAGCAGATGTTAAGCTTAGGATACCTGTTAGATTACCAGTTTTCACTAAAGGCCATACTTGACATATTATTAGCATTAACTACTTTTTTCTCATGGATTTACCCATGAGTTCATGTTATTGTTTTCCCTCAAGTTTTGCTGCATTTTGGTGTCACAGGAGAGTTACAACTACTTTTTTGTTACCTATTTTGTCCCTCACAGGACAAAAAGCAATGCCAGAGGACTTTAACTTAGCTTGGAAAGGCGGGGAGGGGCAGGGGGGGAAGGTATGTTGCCTAAAGCTACTGTTTTGAGCTACTGTTTTGAACATTGTATAAAGGCAGTCTATGCACTTTGGTATAGATATTTTTTATTAATGGAGTGCTTCAAAATGGGGCAAAAACTGACTTAAGACTTTAATAAATCTTGGAAATGACCGGGTATTTCAGAAGTTAAGCTCACCCTCATTACCCTGTAACACTACCTCCTGCAAGGCTACCTGAGACGTATTGTACAATAATTGTGTTCTGGCAGCTGACTCCAAGAAGCCGGCGTTAACCTCTCCTGCTCCCCCAATACGTTGAGATTATTCCCATTAGAATGGATTGATGAATGAAAAGGTCACAGTTAATGGGTATTACTTTAATGCAGAGGGCCAAATCCTATTATCCTTTGCAACAGACAGTGTAAATAGTATTTGTGTAAAGGAGCCCCACTGGGACACAGAGAAATGGAGTCCGCTGCCACGAGGCCTCACATCTGCCTGTTGCCTGCGCCGTCATCTCTCAGCAAAACCTCTCCAGTTCTGCAGCTGGTTTATGTGGCTGAAGGATAAGGGGGTTTGGCCCACGGAGCTTCTTACAGAGCTTATTAATGGCAATAGGAAGGCTTTCACTGACATTAGTGATCTTGGTGACGGGCTGGCAGAGAGGAGGCTTGGCCATGTGGTTTGTGCTTGCGATCTTGATAGGAGTTTCTAAAGAAGTAGCCATGCATATTTTCCGTGCTCATGGTACACTGACCACATTTCACCCTACCTTTTTCAGATTAATATGTATATTAGGTGGGTTATGCAGATTACAGTGTGTGCACTAAATTATTTGATATATTATTCACCAACAAATATAAGAGAAAAAGTAAGTCTGTATATAATTACCCACAACTGCTGGCTGACTTATAATTAACTTTGAAAAATTGCTGTTTTAGGAGATGCTATAGATTACAATTTTAAATATAAGGAGCTTCAGAATAGCTCTCATGATCAGTGCAAGTACAAGGTATTCAGTGAAGAATTAATTCCCTAAACTGCTAATCAGCTCTATCTCCTGTATTATCAAATTGTAAATACATTATGCTGTATTAAAGTATGAGCATGCAGCTAATTAAAGCAGAGCCTGCATTTAATATCAGATACTCCCCCCTTGACACAACAAAATATTCTAAGGACATACATAACAAGTGTTAACAAATGGAAGTGATTCTTTTTAGAGCAATGCTGCGCTTCTACAGCAGCCTTTTGTTTTTATTTTGAAGGTTTGTTTTGGTTGTTGGTGGTGGTTTTTTTGTTTGTTTGTTTTTTTAAAAGAGAAAGGAGGGAGGAAAACCAGTCTTTCAGAAGAAACAAGTTGAGAAAGATATTAATTCTATTCGATCTACAGCTGGAAGCCCACAGGAATCAAACAAGGGATTACAACCAAGGATCTACAAATAGTATCTGGATGACATCCAGCTAAAATTTGGTTCATTTACAAACATTTTTAATAGAGTCTGATGTTAAATGCTGCAAAGCAAAATAAGATTTTTTTTTTTTTAAGTAAAAAAGCAAATGCATCCACATTGTTAAAGGAATGCAGTGTAAATTTAAATGAAAGATCAGTGAAGCCTAGCCAAGCAAACAAGAGGTTCAGAACCATAATTGAGCATCATTTGCAAAACTGCTTCTTTTAGTTGCTTTTTTCTGTTTCAAACTCAAATAAAGTGATGCCATTATAAAGAAAGCGGGAAAAAAACCCTACTGAAATTATTCACCTATGAAATAAACATGAAATATAAGAGACAATACACAGAAAGGAGCTTTTCAACAAAAGTTAGTTTTTTTAAAATTCTTTGTGTAAACCTCAAAGTTTTTTTTGTGCCACTTGAAAGTTTTCACACCCCAAAGACCTTAGAATATATGATGTTATTAATGTTATTCAGCAACAAAAGACATACGTTTTGTCAAGATCTACGTGATACAGTACAATAGAAAATCCATGGCGGGGGGGGGGGCCCCTTTTGGTTTTTTCACCC